AGCAAGTCTAATCTTATCCTCCTGAAATTCGCAGTACCCTCAAAGGCGTTTTGTAGTATATCCCAAGCCTCTTTAGCTGATTCACATCCTTGTATTAGCTCAAATTGCTTACCATCTACAGAACTGAAGATTGTATCCAATGATTTTACATTAAACTTTGAAAGCTTTTTCTCTGTTGCAGTCCACTGTAACTTTGGTTTAGGAGTCTTCAAACCATCTTCTAGCATCACATATGGTTCTTCCCATCCAGATTGAACAACTGTCCAGATATCTTCATCAGTTCCACGTAAGTTTGTTCTCATTCTCACTTTCCAATATCCACAATTCACATTATTCAGCAGCAACATATTATGTGCCAAAATCGCCATATTCTCTTCTCAAGATCTTACCTTGGTTCAAAGAACTCTTCTTCGTTTAGGTGTCCCGCTCTGATATAAAATGTAGAATTGAGATATAGCGAAAAATACAATTCACACAGTAATTTTAAAAAAAAAATCTTATCTCTTTTATTAAAAATCCTTTACACAATCTCTTACAGATTTGTTTGATTCGAATTACACGACTCGCCACGGATTGATTCCTAAAACACCCAAGCTGCTTGCCTCAACACCTGTTGATCAAGTCTACCAATTCACTCAGCTATGAATCCCCAAAACCCTTTGTATTTCCCTCTGAGAATTACAACGACAAAAGCCCTCATCCCCAGATTAGATAAAAGCGAAAATATATATATATTAAATAATATTTTCCTATTATCTAATATATTATTTTCCTATATTTTAGCATCATAAATCTTCTAATTTCGTAAACCAAACATACATAAATATTCCACATCACCGCATCTTTTTTTTTTTCTTCTCGGAAATGTGTGTCATACACCATTCTCTGTGTGTAACACAAGTATGCATACCAAAACTCTACCACTGCAGCAATTTCTCAAGCTCCAAGTGCAGCAAATTCTCAAGTTCCAAGTTCTTGAACTTACATAGAAACCTAATTTTAAACAGAGAAAATAAACAGATGATGGAGAAAGGAGGAAAAGGGTTCAAAGCTTCTCTCAAATCCTCTTATGGTATTGTATCTATCAACCATTTCTTACCTTCTTTGTCAAACCTGAGGGAAACCGGAGCTCTACTTGTCAAAGACCCCAGATGTAGCGCCGAAGACAATGACCGGTTCATCATCGATGTGATGGAGAGGTACTATGGTTTCAGATCTGATTTGGGTTAAAATTTTCCAACTTTGAATACTGTGTCTAATATACTCTTGCTAGTTGGGAACCAATATTCACATTTGGAGTAAATGTTATCATGGCTTTTAGATTCTCTATGAAGTTGTAAAGATGAAAACTTTCTTTTCAATGAATCTGTAAAATAAATTGCTATCTGGAATTAGAGTTAGTTATGTGCTCAATAAGCTTTGGTTTCTCGCTTGGTGTTGTGTAGAGGGATCATTAGCTACTCTAATGGTATATGAGACTCAGAACAAGTATTACCTTCTTGGCGGGCGGTAAAAGTGGTGTCGGGAAAACAAGTTGTTCTGCTTCTCTCACGGTTAAGTTTTCTAGCCACGGTTGAGTGATTCTTTCTCTCAGGTCTCAATCAGTTTTCTGATTTGGCTCTCAAAGTTGTATGCTTTTGAAAGTAAGTTATCAGTTTATCTCTTACATATTTTTGGCTTCCAGGACTTGTCAGGAGGAGTCGTGAAGCTGGTTTAAGGTGTTGATTCTCCACTTCTAGCTCTTGAGGTTATGAAACGAACCTTGCGTCTCTGGTACCTACCACTTGTTGCTGAGTTTTATTCTCTTGTTAAAACATATAACGAAGAATAGTAGTGCGGTTCTTGTTTGAGTATCATCAGTCACCATCGCTGAATCTAAGAAAAGTTTTCTCTTTGATACAAACTTTCGTTTTACTTTGAAGCATGATATATATAGTTCCAGGCGTTTGGAGTTACTTAATTTGGGGATTATATATTCTTTTTCTTTATGATGGAAATTTTTATATTTGGATTAGTGGGAGTTGATTTAGATCTGCGGTAAGATCATTTTTTATCAACTTAATGTTCGCAGAGAGGAAGGGAGATGGAAGAACTTAGGCGGATAGGGAAGGTGATGATTAGCAAGTTTTAAAGCTTGAGGAAAAGGATGTTGTGTCATCTGTTGCTAATGTGCTTTCTGATTCGTGTGGTCCAGGAGAGTATATGGATATGGAGAGGCATCATAACTTCGTCTATTTCTGTGACAGATATTGGTGAATTGTGGGAACATATGGCACCATAGTCGTGTAAGGAGATACCTAACACCTAAGAGCTGGGCAGTTTTAATAGCAAAGGGTAAAAGCATGGTACGGACTGCTGATGCTGCTGAGAAAATACCCAGAGCATTTCAAGGGCAGGGTCACTTTGGGTTTATCTCCCTTGTCTCCTTAGCAATGTTGATTAATTAGGTTTAGATTTTGGTCAAATGTGTATGGGTTTACTTAATTTTTTTAAAAAATCAAGTTTAGTTTAATAAAATTAATTTTATTTGTAAATTGATTTTAATTAAATATAATTCAGTTTTCATTTTAATTTTAATTTTAATTTTAAATTTTTATTATAATTTAATTATGTTACATGGCAGTAATAGACGATTGCTATTATAAAAAAACTTATCATAGCACGAAATATGAATCGTAATTAAGTTAATGACAACATCCAAATATTGTTATCGTATTTGTACATTTCGTAGCGTCAAACAAATGCTGTCGTAGAGAAGGTACCCATGAAAACTGCCTTATACATAGCATTTATGAATTTGTTATCAGAATTCTAATATAATATATAATTTGTGCTAACAATGTACATATTTCTTGTAGTGCGAGTGATGTAGTGATGCGACTCTTTCAATTGTTAAACTTAGAATTACTTGGTGTTTGTATTTGGTTAGCTTGATACAACTTTACTTTTACTTTTTCCAATTGTTAAACTTCATAAGACTTAGGCAAATCTTTGAAAAACTCCTAATTGCATTAATTTGATAGAAATTAAGATTACTTGTACAATTCTTAGAACTATCATAACAAGATGAATATAACAATCTACAACTATCAATATTTTTCTTCCATTATTGGGTTCTTCATTCTTGGAATAACTGTTTGATAACTCCAATGTTCGGGATAGATTCTTGTTTAAATATAAACTAAGTGGTTGCCCGCAAAATCGCGGATACAAATAGCTCTTTAAAATATAGAATAAAATAGTATTTGTTATTTTTGACACTATAATGTATTTTTTCTTTTTCAAAGTTGAATGTAAATTTTATTTACTATATATACCCTAAATAAATGAAGAGAAATTTGCGCTCCTACCAAAACACTTTAACGATATTTGCAAAGTATCAAAGAGAAGGAAACTGTCTACTGTTCACTATTGTAATTTTACTCTGCTACCCTCTTATCCTATTGTCCTTCTCAGCTGACCAAACCAAAAAACAGGCAGACTATGGAGTTGAAATCGGAAGTGAGAAATCTATATTTTTCTTTACATATTCATAATCGTTGTAACCAGCTACTATTAATTGTGAAATTATTGTAAATAGGGATGACTCCTACTATAAAACAGTTCCGACTAGTTAACTAACACGTATTATAGTGTCAGACATACTATATAGCCAACTATGAATTAATTTTAACATCCTAAGTATATATTGACCGTCCATGTAGGTTGTTAACCGTCCAAGTAGATTTTATTAACTGTTTGTTTACAATTTGGTAATGGATATGGTTTTATTTGATATTGTTGGTTAAGGGTTTAGGTGTTACTATTGCTTAGGGTTTAGGGTTTACTATTTATGGGTTGGTATTAGGGTTTAGTTTGTATGGTTTAGTGTTTATCGTTTAGGGTTTATGGTTTAGAGGCTTATGGTTTAGGGTTTACTGTTTATGGGTTTATGGTTTAGGATTTAAGGTTTTGGGTTTTGGGTTTACGGTTTATGGTTTAGGGTTTAGGGTTTATTTTGTATGGTTTAGGGTTTATTGTTTAGGGTTTAGGGTTTAGGGTGTTGGGTTTAGAGGTTTATAGTTTAGGGTTTAGGGTTTCTTTTGTTTAGAATTAAAGACTTCATAATAGCAACATACAACCTCCTAAAAAAAACCCGTCAGATTACCCACAATTAATACAAATTTTAACCCCCAAAAACCATCTAGTTGGGTTAACATTTTTCTTAAGCGTCCATTAGCCTTACATTACCCTTATTTCATAAACCATCAGCACATTAACCGTCTATGTAGGTTGTTAACCGTCCAAGTAGATTTTATCAACTGTTTGTTTACTATAGCTAGATGGGTTAATATTTTTCTGAACCGTCCATTAGTCTTACATTACCCTTATTTCATAAACCATCAGCACATTAACCGTCCATGTAGGTTGTTAACCGTCCAAGTAGATTTTATCAACTGTTTGTTTTCTATAGCTAGATGGGTTAACATTTTTCTTAACCGTCCATTAATCTTACATTACCCTTACTTCATAAACCATCAGCAAATTAACTCTCCATGTAGGTTGTTAACCGTCCAAATAGATTTTATGCAACTCTTTGTAGTGTGAACGAAATCTTTGCGTTATCTTGCCAAATCCACCAAAGATAACAATCTTGTGTCAGACCTGTTTAGATTTACAAGATTATTGGGAAGCTGTGACTTTCCAAATCTTTTCTTGATCTTCTGTCAGAAGCTGTGACCTGAAGCTAAACCCGGGAAGCGAAGAAGTAATTCGGGCAGGATGTTTATGTCTTTTTACCATCGCCTAATTGAACACATAAGCACATAGTTTTCCCTCTTTGGTATTTTGCTAATTATGCTATCTTCTTTGGTTTTTCAGCTAAATTGCTCATAAATGAATTTGTATATTTTGGTTATTTTGCTTATTTTGCTTATTTTTAACTTTTTAAAATATAAAATATGATTTTGTAGTATTTGATCAGATTTGTTATTAACAACTATAGTAACAAATTCTAATGCATGCTTTCAAACATTCTTAAGAAGCTCGACGTAGTAGACGTTATCATGGGAGCATCACGAGTGTGCATCACATGGTTCCTTGCCTCTCACAACAAAACTATATGGAACACCATCAAACTCAACGATCTTGATTCAATAATTTTGGATAACCCTTTCAGCCCTAATCTGCAGGCTAGTGGTAGTCGATACCAGCTGAGGAAGATCTTAATTGAGATCAACAAATTTGCCCGTACTGCCCCAAAATCATTTTTTCAACGTATATTGCAATGTAGCAGAAGAGGAGCTTGCAATCATTTCTAATGGGTACTCAAAACTATGTTAATTAGTTCTTGTATTTCACTTCACTTTTGAGCTATCTGTACATAGGATAGAAATCTGATATAAATCTTCTTCTCCCTTTTTTTTTCTGAAGGATGCCGAACATTCAGAAACTTGCTTTACCAATGTGGACATCACTAAATATAAATTCAATTCAGTCAGCCTTTAGTAAATGGCAGAATCTTCAAACGTTGATTATACACCCTTTTATATCAATGACAGTACGTGAAGTCTCCAGCGTTGAGCTTCAAGCCATCGGAGAAAACTGTAGAAATCTTACAACCGTGAAATTTACTACTATGTTGAACAAACATCTCGCGAATATAATTGTATGCAATTTTACGAGCCTCGAGCGATTGAGCTTTTAGTGCAATTATGCATGTATAGATGCATCATTATCGCTCATCGTTGGTCTTCCATACCTAAAGATGTTTAATTAATCTTTCACATTTTATTTTATGCAAAATACAGGAATTGGTAATTCGTGTACAAGCTGGCACTAAGAAGCTTGACAGGTTTAATTATGGTGTGTTGTTCGGACTGCACAATTTGCCAGGACGTATGGAAACACGCGAATAATCCAAACCGTCATGCGCTCAAGTTTCGTTATGTTAAGGAAGAACGGTGGAAAACAGTAGTGAGATAAAGGAACTTACTGTTATTGCAAAAGAGACTCTATGTAAGATCTTATAATATATAAACTAGATTTTGACCCGCGCTTGAGAAGCGCGGGGTTTGTTTCGGTTGTAACAAAATGAATAAAATGATCCGATTTCTATTATATGATAGTTTTATATGCGAAATTTGATGTATATTTAACGTTTTAGTAGGGTCTTTTCATTTAGTTGCATAACCAAGTCAGTTTGTGGTTGAACAGAGAATCATAAAATTTAGTGGTGTGAGAGTTTGAAGACTTAAAACACATATTAGATTGAAACCAAAATTGGATGGGTCCATGACCTATAATAAACTTGAAAAATCAATACTATTAAAAATACCCAAAATTGTATTACAAATTTGTAGTTAAATCCAATAAATATGTTAATCGAATTATATAGTTTATTTATGTTTCGGCAATTTTGTTTTGACCCGCGCTTGAGAAATTTATAATAAGTAGGGAGACTAACTTTATACTATTAACCATAAAAAATTTTTTTTATGGTTTCTACGAGACTGAATTCAAACTTATTCTTTTGTTTCCCACCACTACACGCTATGGTTTCCAGATCACCCAAGTCTTGAACTTGTCCAATAACATCTAGATAAAAATATACCCGTGTTAGATAGATACATAACAATGAAGATAAGTTATAAAAATAGGAGAAAATTGACCAATAAGAAAATTATTAACATTTATGATTCAAAATAATATAGTTTTAAAAATAGAAGAATTGTTCCATAAATATAGGGAAGAATATTATCATTTAGGTTTTGAGCCGCGCTTAGAAAAACATTATCATTTAGCTTACACTTTTACAAAATGAAGATATCTAAATCATAAATCTATACAAAACGATAAACTTACATTTGCGTCACAAAGGATTAGTTCCATGGTCTCCCCTATGTCTTTCATGAAATGTCTCCATGTATGAAAGATTTTGACTTGGATGCGACATGCAGTCTTCCTCGGTTTTATATCACGACAACTGCAAATTATTCGCCATTTTTGTTTTAAGTTTTTCAAAGAATGATGAATATAGTGGTTAAAAGAGGCTATATTTATAATAGGTAAGGACGATATACATTTAGGTTACGCAAATGTAGGAAAGAATATTTAGAAGATTTTATAAAATATCTCTTTCGATGAATAAGGAATATTTCTTGAAGATATTTTGAATTAGTTAAGAAGTTTAAAGTTTAACTGTTAATGGTAATACAACTACGGTAAGTTACCGAAATTTATGGAAACCAAACAAAGAATAACTAACCACGATATTGATTGTTGTTAATTTATAAACTTGTAGATGAAGCAATTCATTTATTTTAGTACGAAGATAATTATAGAAAATAGTTTTTGCAATATTTTCTTAACAAAACGTATCTCATCCATTAAATGTCACCATGAGAATGATGATATATCGACATATGAAGAAAAGTTAATACGAAAATATTTGAAATTATCTTGCATATAACAAATTTAGTTATTATCCAATAACAATCTTAATATATTATTTAAATATTTTAAAAATCAGATATTAAAGATATTACCAAGATATTTTCTAATATTGCATTTCTACAATATCTTTTAATATCTTTTTCAGTAAAATATAAATATTTATTGTTTTAATATTTATTTTAAATAATAGAATGTACTTTTAAATATTATTACAATTAATTTTAATTCATTTGGATTTATTAAATAAGAAATACCATTACTATAATATTTATAAATACATTATTCATATTAATAATTAAATTACTACAATAAATAATATATATAATAACTTAATTAAAATTATTTTATAGACTATAAATTAAAAGAATTACATATTCATTAAAACATATATTCATAGAGTTTACAACATACTTCAATTTATTAATGCAAAATATTAAAATATATATTAACAGAATAAAAAATATATTTAATATAATATATAAATTACTATATTAAAAATATAATTTAGAATATTTTTTATTTGATAAAAACGATATTATTTTTTTGTTGATTTTATTATACAGTATATTGAATTATATATTATGATTTAAAATTACAATTTATTACAATTTATTTTATAAATATGTAAACATTTATAAGTATGAGAGGCCTCTGAACACCATATAATTAATTTATATTATAATAAATATTTATGTAGTCAATCTATAGATTAAAACCGTAATATAAAGTTTATAAGACAATGTAAATGTATGAAATATAATATGGAATATGGTTAGAGTAATTAATGGGAAGATAGAAAATAAATCGGATATATTTAATATGTTATATGATTTATAACAATTGATATATATATATATATATATATATATAGATGTAAGACCATAAAAAGTTACCAAAATGCCATTAATGAGAGTGCACACAACTTCCATCAGTCGATTTTCAAGGGTGTCTTCACTTTTAATAGTATAGATTATATTATGTAATACTTTCTATTTATTCAATGATAATTACTTTTAGTGCTGTCCCTAATAATTGAAAGGTTTAGAGCATCTCCATCAGCAATACTCTTCTGGCACGATCCCCGATGTCACTTTTTATTTTTATTTTTTTTCATTTGACTTTAAAAAAAAAAAAGAAGCAATGGTCCGCCAAGTGGCGAACCCGTGACGATCCGGTATCACCGCAACGAGTTCACGCGATGCAGATTCACCATTTTTTGCCTCGAAACCTATGTGATCCCCCCCCCCTTAAACCCCCTATAATCCCCTAATGAGGATGGTCTTAAACTAAACTAAATCTGTGTGGCTTTATGTTTTTATTACTTAATTTCACTTATGAATTAAATATTATATTACACTTTTGTTTAAGTTTAAATATACAAAATTAACATTATTTTATCCTATATTTTAATATTTACACAAAGAATCGACTTAACTTTCACCAGGACTATATATGTAAAGGATGTTTTTATTCATACGTTTAGACTTCATACTTTCACAATTGCAATTAAACCCATCAAACCAAACGTTTTTTAAACGTATATGACTCAAGTCGCAGAATGACTAAAAAGTTTACACCAAGAATGTAAAGGAGCTTTTTGATTCATAAGTTTTGCCACATAGCTTCCAAATTCCAATAGTTTTACCCATAAATTTTTAACATGACATGTCTCATGTCACTAATGAGAGTGCAACAATAAATATTAGTTCTCTCTTATATGAGAGTGTCATATCACTAATTCATCTCTTTTCAACATGACATGTGTCATGGTTCTTGATTAATCTTTTAACTTTTTTTTTGTTTATTGGTTCATCTTTAATTAAAAATTTTTATGGCATCGTTCAATAAGTCTCACTTTTTCTACCCATTTACTGTAAATTTACTATAATAATATGTTTTCTTAAAAAAATATTATATATAAATAGAATTATATAGGATAATCGATAAGTTTCCTTGCAGAATCTCTATATCTAATTTTTATTATTTTTCTCAGATTTCTTAAAAAAATACTTCAGATATTTTTGATTAACCAAAACGTCTTTGGCATCAGCTAAAGCTAAATAAAATGAATCACAACCGAAGATTAGTCACATGATCAAACAAACAAATGTCACCGTGCCAAGGAGGTGTTAAATACCAATTCAGCAACACAGGTTACAAGAGCAAGAAAGACTTAACCAATTGGTGGTTACGATCCTTTATAGTTTGACTTTCTTTTCCTTTTTTTTTTGTCTTTGACAAACAACAAGAGAAACTAAGTACCAGACAACTTTCATGTCCTAACAAAAACAAACAACTTTCATTAGTCACCGTTGGATCAAATCTCCTCCTCATGCGAATTCGTTAATCTGTTGCTTCTTAAAAAAGTTCAGAGACAAGAAAGAGCCAAAAATAGAAACAAACAAGCTAGATTTTGAGCTGTCTTCTCGATAGAATCTAGAAGGCACCTCCTAGTTTCTCGCGAAGCAAAAACGAATCCATCTCTCCTGATCTTAATCATTTTCAGTTTCAGAACTTAACAACATTCTGTTCGTTCTCTCTCCGTGTTTTCCCCTTATCGACGAACAGTTTGCTGCAACGTGTTGTGCATCTTGAAGTGAGATAACGGGAAAAAAACAATTCTTTTTTTGTAAGTTCCTCTCTTGTTTCGTGAGGCACAAGTTTCTTTTTTTTTTGTAACGTTCTTCTCTTTTGTATTTGGTGCACATATCTGAAACATTTTTACTGCTTTGTCTCCTAAGTCTGCCTCATTGTCTATAAAAGTTACAAACATTTAAGTTCAAAAAGATCTTTTTGCTATTCATTTAGCTATCTTTGAAGAGACTCAATTGTAAAACTTTCATCATAATCAAAGAAGAAGGATTGACATTCTTGACCTTTATCTGTATTCCATCTAATGATATCATGGGTTTGATACTTAGGAATCATTAAGGATAAGGTTTGTTCTTGATGAAGATAGGGGGAGACAGACACAAAGATAGCTAACCGGCCTGAGTATTATGGGATGCATTTGCTCAAAAGGAACAGCAGAAGAAGAAGAATTGAATGTTCAACATGAGAAACCTCAAGAAAACTGGAACAAAACGTCGTCCTCAGTTCAACTTATTGCACCTACTACCTCAAACAAAGATGACTTTTCACAAAAATCTGGAAGCTCTGGTGGACGCACGCATAAACCCTCTGGGAGAGCCAGCGGATTGATTGTTCCTATTGAAGATAGTGATGGTAAAACAGTAATAGTAGAGAGACCCACAAGGTCTCACCGGAGATGTTCAATTGCAGATGTTGGGACAGGAGGAGGAGGATTCCAAACGCTTCAGCCGGGTACAAGTGTTCCACTTAGCCCTGAGGCTGAGCTCATTTCAGCTGGATGGCCTTCTTGGCTAACCTCTGTTGCAGGTGATGCCATCAAAGGTTGGGTTCCTCGTCATGCAGAGTCCTTCGAGAAGCTGGAAAAAGTTAGTTCCTCTGTTTCCATATTACAGTTTCTTGATTGCATTGCATTCCCTTGTTTCCTGCAAATGTGAACACTGTCTTTTCTTTTGTCAGATTGGACAAGGGACTTATAGCACCGTGTATAGAGCTCGTGATCTTGAGACAGGCAAACTGGTAGCCATGAAAAAGGTTAGATTCGTCAATATGGATCCTGAGAGCGTGAGATTCATGGCGAGGGAAATCAACATTTTGAGGAAACTCGACCATCCAAATGTTATGAAGCTCGAGTGTCTTGTGACCTCAAAGCTCTCTGGTAGCTTGTACCTTGTGTTTGAGTACATGGAGCATGATCTCTCAGGTCTCGCTCTTAGACCCGGTGTCAAATTCACAGAATCCCAGGTACGTTACAAGGCTTTTTGAATATGGAGGAAATAGTTTACAATCTAACTCGGAGACGAATCTTGTTTCTTGGCAGATCAAATGTTACATGAAACAGCTGCTTAGCGGGCTTGAACATTGCCACAGCCGTGGAATCCTCCACCGAGACATTAAGGGTTCAAATCTCTTGGTGAACAATGATGGTGTCCTTAAGATTGGAGATTTTGGACTCGCCACTTTCTACCATCCTGATCAAGATCAACCGTTGACAAGCCGTGTAGTAACCTTGTGGTACAGGGCCCCTGAGCTTCTACTTGGAGCTACAGAGTATGGAGCTGGCATAGATCTGTGGAGTGTTGGTTGCATTATAACAGAACTGTTCTTAGGGAAACCAATCATGCCGGGAAGAACAGAGGTGAATAAATTATAAATGTAGATTTTCATCATCAATTCTTTGAATCCACATCTCTGCTTACAGCAAATGTGTATCTTAGGTAGAGCAAATGCATAAGATCTTCAAGTTGTGTGGTTCACCATCCGATGAATACTGGCGAAAGACAAAGTTACCACTTGCCACAAGTTTCAAACCACAACAACCTTATAAGCGTGTCCTCCTAGAGACGTTCAAGAGTTTACCATCTTCTGCTCTAGCTCTTGTTGACAAGCTTCTATCCTTAGAACCTGATAAACGAGGCTCAACTTCATCAACGCTAAATAACCAGGTATAATAGCCTTTGTGTGTTTACCATCTATCAGATCTTGATTTGCCTCCAGAGTTCAAACTTTTATTCTGTTTTTTTATTCTTTTAGTTCTTCACAACGGAACCACTCCCGTGTGATGTATCAAGTTTGCCCAAGTATCCCCCCAGCAAAGAACTTGATGCAAAGGTCAGGCATGAAGAAGCAAGAAGGTACCAATATTCTTCCAATACACAACCAAAGTAAAATGATTCATGCAACTTCCTAAGCATATGTTGTTAAATAAAATTCAGGAAAGGGGCTGAAACTGTGAAGGGACGTGGGGCTGAGTCGTTGAGAAGGGGTTCGAGAGACTTCAAGAGTACAGTCACAACACCAGAGTTTATTGCTTCAGGTCATTCAAAAACCACAAACAGCACTCAGAGATTCAATCCTCAGGAACCAAGTCAGACGGGAAGATGCGACAGAGATAAGGGCCTTTCTCATACCAGTTCAATGATTCATCCAAGTATTACAGCAACATGGAGTAAAAACGAGAGCTCAAGGCAAAATGTAGTAGAGCTGAAGGCTACCCGATCTAGCAATGTGCCGATGACCGGGTTGTCTCCTTCACATAAAGATGATGCAGTTGTAGTTCCCACAGCGGTAACAAAAATAAAATATCACTGGGAGAGCTAAGTTTGATTTAAACATACCAAACTCTGGTTTTACCAATTTAGGTAATGGATGTTTTCTGTTTACGCTATTTCAGACATACGTACGCAAGAAGAAGAGAATGCACTATTCAGGTCCACTGATGCCTCCAGGTGGAAACATGGAGGACATTCTGAAAGAGCATGAGTGGCAAATCCAAGAGGCTGTAAGGAAATCTCGACTTGAGAAATCTGCAACAAAGAAAAACCACATAACAGGTGCATAATTGGAAGACATGAAAATGAAACTTTTGTAAACACAAAAACAAGAAAAAAAAAAAACATCACCTGAACTAGAAGAAGGAAGATTGACCATGGATATCGATTCTGCTATTCTTCTAGATCTCTTAGCAGGCCACTGCCACAGCTATGCATGCTTGTGCTAGGAAGATCTGTAATTATGTGTGTTATTGTACATAGAAACTCCTAGTGTTTCTCTCTCAGTCACATTCCTTTGAGGTTTGGAGAAGCATATAAGTGTGTGTATATTTAGCAATCGTGTTTACTTGTGCAAGTAAATATACGGATTTGGCAGAAGTGCATCAGTTTTCATATAAAAGCAAATCAAATAGGTTACACATGTAGCCTAACAGAGAGAAACCTTGGCTAAATATGTATCTTAAAACCCCTGGCTCTGCTAATCCTGCAGGTAACTAGCATCATCATATCATGATTGGGATCACATGTTGTTTACTAACTTCTCCGGAGGAAGAGGTGATAATGCACATCAAACGCGCTATCATATGTTGTTTCTAACTTCTCCCAATTATGAATCGTGGATATAAATTTAAAGGCATAGGGCATCATCGGGTAGAAGAAACAATGAGAAGATCGTGTCGACCAAAAACAGTTTGGATGTTTAACCAACCAAACAAGGAAAGGGACACACCCAGACAATCATCATCGATATTGTCGATGAACTCATAATCTTAGAGGTAATAAATCAAAGAAACAATATAAGAGAAAGGATGAAACCCGACGGTTATAAACGCCGGTAACTACGTAACTCTTACGATATTTAATTTTTTTATAACTGAATTAAAAAGTTATTCAAATGAAATTCAACCAGAAGATATCTTTTTCTTTTTTTTTTAATCCACATTCAACCAGAAGATATCTATTCCAATTAATCATCATCCACGATTTTCCAGTTTGATGGCATTTGTTCCGCGTCAATTGGTACTTTCATTCGAGTTAATATCTAAGCGCCAACGACCTACTCTGTGTCTCTTTTACTAGAGAGTCTTTAGTATCAAATTAGGGTTTCAATTTCAACAAGAGCATGTCGATTCCAACCCCTTGTTTCCCGATGGCAGATAGCAATCTCCGCCGTCCAATTGCGTCGTTCCCGGCATCGACGTTTCGTCCGGATCGAATCTCAGGTAATGGGACCTGGATTCGCGAACGAGGAAGAATTAACGTGAAATCAGAGGCGAAAACTGACGAATCTAGTTCTAGTGAAAGCACTACGAGCGGCAGTGCATCTAGCTTCTTATCCGTTCTCTGTCCATTGCTTAAACTCTTCTCTGTGAGTCCTCTTCAAACTCTTTCTGCTCTTGTCTTGTCATCAATATGTCTCCTTTTCTAGGTTGTGTTTCTTCTCATATATAAATTCGTTTCTCTAATTTATATGGACTAATTGTTTCCAGGGAGGTGACCCTTCTCAGCAACGGAATCATGCTCTTGAGGTTACTCCAACAAACCCTCTTCCATTTATTCTAACTACACTGAGCCGAGTGAAAGTTTTTGACTTTTGTGCTAATGGCTATATTAAGCCTTTTTTGGAATATGAAGACCACATTCATATCAGGTCCTTTATAACATTGCATGGTCCCTTAAACTTCGCAGTTAGCACAGTGGTTATGATTCACTAGGAACCACCGAGTTTTTCTTAACTTGTTGATTGGGACCTGTTTTACTAACAGTTAGGGACCATATTTCTCGAGTTTCCAGCAGTGATTACATGAAACTACATTTCGTTTTGGTTTGCATGTATCCAGGTCGCAACTTCTTCTTTAGCGTCTATTGCAAGACTTCCATGGGGATCTCGAGTCTCATCCATGAGTATATATAATCAAGATGTTTCTTCTAGTCCACCTTTGAGATTGCAGCTTTTTGAATTTGGTATGTTAAAAAAAAATAAAAAAATAGAATTAGTGGAAAATTAATTATATACTGTGACTTTGTATTGTTTTTTTTGTTTGTTTTTGGACAACAGAGGCATGTCCTTTTTGCCGGAGGGTGCGCGAAGCCATGACTGAGCTAGACCTCTCTGTAGAAGTAAACAACTTTAACATCTTTCCTGATAAATAGTGTATTAAGCAGTAAACTAAAGTTCATCCTGATATTTGTTGGTCTTCAGGTTTATCCTTGTCCTAAAGGATCTGCAAGACACAGGGAAATGGTTAGAAGATCCGGTGGAAAAGAGATGTACTTTTACCTTCTTGTACTATCTATCATTTACTTTCTTTTACATCCTTCCACAACTATTCCCTTCTAAGTGTCCATATTCTGAATGAAATGTGCAGGTTTCCGTTCCTCATTGACCCCAATACTGGTACTTCAATGTATGAGAGTGGTAAGTTTTGAGTTCTAACAGTATTTACCTGTTGTCCTCTTCTCTGGATATCTTTACGTTGCTTCTCTTTTGTTTTCTAATTAACAGGTGACATCGTAAAGTACCTATTTAATCAATATGGAAATGGAAGAGGCCCTTCCACAGGACTTCTCGAAAGGTGAGCATCGCCAGACTCTGCTATATTATTGGTCAAGCTATCTATTTTTACTGTCTTCAGCTCCTAGCTTGAACGCTTCTGTAAGTCATGTAAGATTAGTTGGTCTTTGTTTTCCGCGGTATCACTAACTTCTGTAGAGTTGTCTAGCACCTTGTTCACAGGATGGATGCCAACACTTCTCCGAGCTGGTAGAGGCATGTCATTATGGGACAAGGCTTCAATCGATCCACCACCTGAAATGCTCGAGCTCTTCTCTTACGAAAACAACTCAGTATTATGCTTTTTCCTTTTCATTTTCTTGTATCCATTATTTTTCTTATCATTAGTCTTATGATTCATACATTCTTTTTCTACATTATCGCTATTGTTGTGTGCTGATATAAATCTGGGTTTTAATTCATTCAATTTTTTTTCCCTTCTAGTATGCGCGGTTGGTGCGTGAAGCACTGTGTGAGTTGGAGCTCCCCTATGTATTATACAACATTGGAGAAGGGTCCACCCGGATGAGATCACTTCTAAATGTGTCAGGATCCGATAAGGTTTCTTTCCAGTTTCGTTTTTTTGTATAGAGTCTAAACTCTACTAATCACTTATTTGGCTGGTACTTGTTATGCATCTTAGGTTCCATTCTTGGTTGATCCAAACACTGGTGTCCAGTTAGGTGATTACCAGAAGATATTGGCTTACCTATTCGAGACTTACTCTTCAGCAGCATCTGCATAGTGGGCAATCTGACTTATTTTCAGTGATGAAATACTGAGAAACTTTTGTTGAATTATCCCTTCTGCGAGTTGGCGCCGGCGCCGATTGGTAGATCTCTAGCTGCATCGTTCGATCCTTGTTAATCAGAGAAGAGAAATATGAAAAGTTTAATTAAACTCTCTCTTATATATCATGTATATTTTAAGGTTTTACTAGATTTTGACCCGCGTTTGAAAGTAGGGCGCGGAAATTTTTTTTGATTAAAAGTTTATATAATTAGGTTTTGTCTTTATTTAAAATGTGTTTTGGTATAAAATCAGTGATCCAAAATTTGTGGTGGTGATTGCTTTGCATTAGCTTTTAGTTTCAGTTTTTATTTTTAGATTTGGTTTTAGATTTTCGTTTTTGGTTTTTAATTTTTAAGTTTCTAGTTTTGATTTTCAGCTTTTGGTTTGGGTTTTTAGCTTTTAGATCTGCTGAGTTAGTTTGAACTCATAATTACCAACAAACAAATCCCAAGAATCGAATTTAAAACTGAAAAGATGAGAATTTTTATTTTAAGAAAATGCAATAGTTTATTTTGTGTAAATAAACAAAACAAAAGCAAGAATATAACATGCGTTTTCAGCTTTTGATTTTGGATTTTAATTTTTAGATTTGGTTTTTAGTTTTGCTTTACATTTTTTTTTAAAGTCAGTAAATTATTTAAGAAAAATAAAAAAATAAACTATTATAAAAGTTACCATTGAAATTATCAAGACAGAGTGATTGTTATTTAAAATAAAAAAATATTAGCATGTTTTAAAGGACATGATTTAAATAAGTGATTAATAATATATAATTTTGTTTTGTTAAAATATTAAATACTTTTGGGCCTTAAAATAGTAATTGTTTTTTTGATCCATTAAGGTAAAACATTTATTCAATATTTTTTTTGGAGTTTTTCATTAATACTAAGCCCAAAACCCAAACTATATAATTTGTCATAAAAACAAAAGTAAGCCCAAAACTCTATTCCATAAATAACCGCCGGTTTAATTTAAGTAATGCGATTTAGTTAACTATATGACTTGTATTATTTGTAACACTTTAGAAAGGGTCCAAATTTAAATGACAACTTATATCAGTAGATAAAAAAAACTCTATTTTAATAGAGTAAATTTATGCTATTTTATAGCATGAGCTGTAATATGAAAGATTCGTTTCCATCAATAAAATATTTTCTATATATGTGGATGTAGATCTAGGTGAACAAAATCAAATGTTTGTATCAATCTTTATCGTTTATTTATTTTGTTGATCTATTTTTTTTTTCTCTTCCGTCACAACAAATTGATATTAGAGCTTCATTGAATCTGGTGAGAAATGTCTTGGATAATCATAAAGATCGACAAATTTTATAAAAGGAACAGTTCAGTTTTTTGGCAAATCAAGATGAAAGCGTTGCTGAAGCAACAAGTTTTTGGTACACCATCAACGATTAAACATGTACGGTTGAGATGAATGTTACTGAAGAGAAGACGCATTCAATGATTTCATTGAGTCTGGTAAATGAGATCATCATCGAGGTTTCTGGTGCTGAATCGGAATCTGTATATGACGAAATCTTTAACTAAGAAACTACTTCTGAAACAACATCTTTTCGCTCTGAGGATACATGAAGATCACTTTGACAATCTAAATTTCATTATGCTAGATCTGAGAAACATTGATGTTAATGTAGAGGAGCATTGATTTTATAAATGCTACTGCCTAATTATTACGAGAACTTTGTTCAGTCATTCATAGGGAGTAAGGATACAATGTGTTTGTAGGAAGTGATGCTGGCACTTCACAGCAAGGAGTTTCATGACAAGACATAAGTTCCGTTATAGATGACCAAGCTTCTGGTTGTTTGTAGGTGATGGAAAAACTTTAGGAAAGACAAAATGTCAAAAGAAAAAAATATCATTTACAAGAGGTCCTAAGAAGAAGTAAGCTGATTTCACTGTTGTAACAGAGAATGAAGCTAAGTCTGATGAAGATATTACATTAGTTGCTCATAAAAAAACACATTCTAAAGATGTGTTGATTCTAGACACATGAGGGTTTTATCATATGTGTCTGAGGGAATCAGGGTATGAGAAATTTACTGATGGCTATATTAAGATAGCAAATGACTTTGTTTGCGATATTGCGAAAATTGGTTCTATAACGCTTAAGGCACATGATGGAGAGTTTGCACATTCACTGGAGTTAGCCATGTTTCATTGATGTCCAAGAATTTTATCTCATTTAGTCTTTTAGATAGCAGAGGTTTCAAGTATTCATATAGAGATGAAGTTTTGATGGTCTATGGTTAAAATGTGGTTCTAGGAGGTTTCATTCATGGTAATCTGTGTTTGTGTTTGCGGGAATGTTCTACAATTTCAGCAAATGATCTGAAATTTTGTTTATCAGAGTTCAATCAGTTTGTAGGGATTCAAGGATTGCAAGACATCATACAATGAGAGTTACACCACATCAGAATCGTATAGCATAAAATATGAACCAAACTTTGTAGGAGAGAACGAGATGCATGCTTTCAATTTCTGATTTGGAAAAAAGATTTTGGGCTAAAACATCGAAATGAAATTTTAACAAAAGATGGAACTGCAGATAATCCAATCGGATTCACTAGGATCGATCAGTCCATACTAAACAAAGGATCGGGCGATCACAGAGATCAGATCAATAATCCGATATACGAAAAATCATGATCGATCGATCTGCGGGGCGAGATCGATCGATCCACATCTGACGAGCTTATGATTATAATGCCAATTTTTTTCAAACCAATTCTATATATTCTAAACCCTAACTTATAATTGTAATGTTCATTTTCTTCAAACCAATCCAAGCCTTAACCACATTTATATGAGTGTAAAAACTGATATACTTTAAAAATTAATATTGATAATATAGTTATAAATATTTGTTATTACAAATATTAATTAATTATGCCCTTTTATGTATATGACTATGTGTATATAACTTTTGAGTTATATGTTTATAGAATAATGGTGGACAAGAAAATTTATCCTATTTTACATTTTTCAAATGGAAAGGTATTGCACAAGTACAATATTACTAATAATATTTTATCTTTACAAAAAATAAAAATAAATTAAATTTTTATAGATCCTTATTTCGAAAGCACTTATAATGTTAAAGCATTGTTGAGCTTTGTACGTATATTTTGGTAGGAGTTTCACTCGAAGTTGTTGACATCACATAGTGAATAGTGGTATCCTCTTTGGACCTTTGGTCCCTTTCTTTTCTTTTTCTCAAACCAGAGCATGACTAAGTGGACATTTGAGGATCCCATTAGATGCCTGTTTATGAGACTGTGACTTCTCCCTTAAAGAGCGAGCTGTGGATCCTAAGTAAATAGAAGTTGCCCAAAGTCAGTAAGATTGATTTGAAACCATTTTATAGTTGGAGAGAGTTAGGTTGTATGGAATCGGAAACGAAAACGTGGAAGCGAAACGTTTCGAAACGTGGAAATGAAACGTTTCGAAACGTGGAAATGAAACGTTTCGAAAAGTGGAAACATGATTTTCAAAAAAAACAAAAATAGAAATGGAAACATTTTAGAAATGTCTATACTATATATATGTGTGTATATATATATGTATGATTAATTAACATGTAAGTTTTTTTTCTTTTTTTTTATTTATCTAAGAGAAAAAATTAAGTAATAAGTATTTTTTTGTACATTTTATTAAAATTATAATCAATAACTAGAAAAGTAAGACATGTTATCACTCGATAAAACTATGGTGCGATTTCATTCCAAATCAAATCATTATATTAAAATGATGAAAAAATATCAAAACATGATATTAAAATATAAAATAATAAACCTTTAATCACTAAGATCAAATGCCAAATAGTTATTTTTGCGTTTCTCATTAAAATCGCGAGTTTCCAAATTAGAATATTGAGTTTCTAAATCAGAAACACAAGTTTTCATAGTGTTTCCATAATGAAATTTTCAAGAAAGGTGTTTCCAAAGAGTTTTCTCGAGTTCCAAGAGATTCCGATTCCGAAACGTTTTCGAAACATGAAACGGATCTTGAACGGAGTTTCCATGCAACCTAGGAAGAGAGTAGGTGATTTTTTTTTAAATATACAAAGGGTTTAAGACAGAGGAATAGAGAGCAATTCCATGGTGGGATATCTCCATTCTTACTTGGTTGTTTTCGGATTGACTTCTTTGATAGGAGTATGGCTCTCCGCATTTCCCTTGCTCTTCTTTAGATATCTGCACATATTATAATGGTTAGCAGTATTATATTTTGGTATGCGCTGTTTCTTCTTTTTGAGGCAAGTTATTTTGTAGTAGAATTTAGAGGTGAAGCTCACTTTTACGGTTTGAAATTTTGCTAGAGGAGGCAGTGATCATTGATGCCGTGTCTGATCAGAGGGGAAAAGGGCCTATTCCTACCCGAACAATTTCAATCGTGCCAAATACAACCCGAACAAACATCCAGTGCCAAATACGACCTGAACTACGTTATAATGCAAAAATACTACTTGAACTTTTTAAAACGTGCCTAAGCCTACATTGACCGTAACAGAAGTTAGTCAACCGTTAAAATGATAAACCGACGTCGGGTCTATTCCTACCCAAACATTTTCAATCGTGCCAAATACAACCCGAACAAACATCCAGTGCTAAATACGACCTGAACTACATTATAATTCAAAAATACTACCTGAACTTGTTAAAATGTGCCTAAACCTACATTGACCGTAACAGAAGTTAGTCAACCGTTAAAATGATAAACCGACGTCGGGTCTATTCCTACCCAAACAATTTCAATCGTGCCAAATACAACCCGAACAAACATCCAGTGCTAAATACGACCTGAACTACATTATAATTCAAAAATACTACGTGAACTTGTTAAAATGTGCCTAAACCTACATTGACCGTAACAGAAGTTAGTCAACCGTTAAAATGATAAAACGATGTCGTTTCGATTTCATTATTTTTTAAAAAATATGAACATTCCGGGATTCGAACTCGGGCCTTGTCACTATTTAAAACAGACATATCAACCACTAGACTAAAGCAATTTTTTTACTTTTTCATCTTCTCTGATAAAAACTTTGCTTATTATTATTTTTGATTCTTATTAATATATTAATATATATAATAAACTTATAAATACTAAAATATAAATAATAAAATATTTATAATTATACGAAATTAAATATATTCATGTTTTGAAACTATTTACAAAATGTCCATATATAAATTATTTTAAAATTTTAAAACTTGAAAGTTAATTTCTT